CGGGCTGGAGGAGTAAAGAGCGTGCGGAATCGGGGAGCCGTGTGTTGGAGATGTTTACACGTTTGAGGAGTATCTCATTAGAAGTATACGGTGTAAAGGAGAGGTATTGTACCCTCGCGGATTTTTTTTTTCAACTGATATTTCCAATGAAATTGCAGAAAATTAACGAACGTAGGAAATTTCAGGTCAATTATGCCCGGGAAATTCGGGCATTTTGCTTCTGAATGTTCATGTTCAATGGGAAGTTCAAGTAGATTATGAAATTTATGTATTGCACGGGTGGGAAATTTAATTAGGGTGGAATAAGAGACTGATCAGTAACGCCGACGTCTTTTCAGTTATGTTTAGCCCAAATTTTCGGATTTTGAACCCACTTCTAATGGAATTAAGAAAATGACGTTATGCTCTGGGCATTCCTCTCGGTTGTCGTCGGATTTTGAACAGTCTTGGATCAGAAATGTAACACTTGTTTGATTTGGATCCATGCCTGATCAAAATGCTAGGAATCGAAATCCTAGGATTCGATTTTTCTGATGAGTACCGGATCCAATACGGATTCAGTCAGGATGTAACTGATCCAAATAGAATCGGAATTCACTCTGCCACACTACACTATAAATCAAAAAATACAAAACTAAACTATTCAAACTAAACTATTTTGTTCCACTAAATTATAAACAAAAAATATTAATCTTCCATGAATATATACTTCAACACTGTACATCGAAAATAATTGAGACCGATTCATTTCACAATGCACTCTATTATGCATAGAAGCTAATTACTGACAGTAATGCAACGTCAGATTATGCAAACGGAGTAAACAAAATGCGAAGAAAAATAGCCTCAATAGAAAATCGCCACGCTTCCTTCGTCGCCTTTATGGTTTTGGAATAAATAATTAAGAATTACAAGCCATGATAATCGGTGGTAGGCACAACTTCCGGTTTTGCATTGAAGCGCAAGAGATGGAGTGAATGATGAGTGATAATTAATTCAGCATTATCATTTTTCTCATGCAAAACAAGTGTACATGGAGTTTGGCGCTGACGTTGAGTTGTGGTGTCGCTGGAGGAATTCGTGAGGAACGTTACATCTCGTTTTTAATTACTTGAAAAATTATCAATGAGCGTTTAAAGTTCTGTATTTGATTTCTTGCGCATACTGCCTCATTATGGTAATTATTAATTTTTCTCTTTTAATTGCTCCAGGGATAATTTCATGCTTCTGTGATTGGTGGAATGCGAGAGAGCGTATGAACGATTTATTTTTTGCCGCATATATGAACCTTCGATAGCTCAGTTGGTAGAGCGGTGGACTGTAGTTGGTTGAATTCAAAGTGGGCATCCATAGGTCGCTGGTTCAAATCCGGCTCGAAGGAATAATTTTTTTTTTCAGTTATTCATTATAACCTAGGACTTATGAATTTTAATGGATGTTATTCTCATTACGCGTGCAAACGATATGGTGTAAATTGCGTTTTAAGTGTGGAATAAATGAGTTATCTTCATACTGCGACTCATCATTTGGTGGAAGCATTGGAGAGTCGGAGACTACGCTGAGAGAAATATCGACATAATATCAGAAAACTAATTCTCGCGATAAGAATTCCGCGTGAAGAGTCAGACCGGGTAAGAATCCTGTGACATGTTCATGACTTGAAGACGAACACTTGGCGACAAAGTGACAATTTCTCCCTGTGATGTTCTTCATTCAAGAAATTATTTTTGTTATTTATCGATTTGTCTCTCAGTATACTCTTTCAATCCTTCAGACCTTCGGCGACCGATCCCTATCAATGGCGATTTTCTTCGTTCTTCGGAATTTTTTTTTGAGAGGTTGTAAAAAAGGGAAGTCATAATGCCTTTGACATTATTTGGCCACCCGGAATCAGCGGCAACATCTGCCTGAGACGTGCTACAAGCCCCAACGGATCATTAACTCCCGTGGAATTTCGCGAATAATTATGCCTCATTATCCCAGCAGCAGGACAATTAGTGCTTCACAGGTGTGGGGTTGATGTATGAAAATTCTAATTTCATCGTTTTTCACATATCAGAGTTTTATATTATAATATCCACAGGAGGAAGATAATTTGCGCTTCCGAAATGGAACAACATAACGTAAAGGTTTTTCATTACACGCGTTCAATTGATTTTGGAAACAGGTCACTCCATTACGAATGACCCGAGATTAGAGAAAAATATCTATCGAATGTATTCACTTCAGAATGCATCGCACACAAGACAGGAAAGAGGATTCCTTCAATCGACAATCTGATATGCTCTCAGTTAATTGTTTTCCTTCACGGCAATATTTCACGATATCCACGGAATGAAGTTCAAGCTATTATTAATCGCGAAAGCGTAGTCGTTTGTATTTAATTGGGCCTTACAACTCAATTATTAATGCGGTCGCTCCACTCGTTGACTATCAAAACTGCGTGGAAATTATGTTAACAAGACAACCGGTAGAAGTACAACTTATTTACTCAAGAAATCATCGCGTTTTACCAACCATACATAATGAATATTAACGAGGATATAAAAATATGTTATTAAATTAATTCTCGAATTCCTTATAATCAGTAAAATAGTTGGATACATTCCAGCACCATTTCAACGCTATTTTTTACGTCTAGCTGAGCCAAACTGTTGCTGTCTTACAGAGGAATTTGTAGGAAAATAATGGACCTCCTCTACGAGAGAATATTATTATTCAAGATTGAGTGGAAGTTGCACTTCAACAACTTATGATTTGTTGACAATCATCAAATAGTGCATTTGTCTCGGCTTCCTTCTGTCAATTGATCCATTAGTTATTGATGGCTACTATCAAACTCTATTACCTATTCATAGTTAACAAGCATCATTAACACTGAATGAATTCTTTCATAAGTCTTGGTGCATGCCGCGTTAGATTTGTGTCAAATCGTATTCACCTAATGAGCAAAATTATAGTTTCCATACATTCCTGGTGTGCATATCAAAAATGGATCTACGTTCCAAATACCTTTCTGAAGAACCTACTGTAGACCTCCAGATAAGATAGCCCAACAACATGTCAGCGGTACGTATTCACATCGCCGTAACGTACTAAATACATTCTCCAAGATATGTTCCAACCAATTTGAATCATCTGTCTTGCACATAACATATTACGTCAGTTGTGAGTGAATGAGCGTTCAATTCTTGTTTGATCTGCATGTTTCAAAACTCTTTACATAGCAAGACGTTTTGAAAAACGCTTCTTGCGGAAAGATCCAATAACGAGTCCTTTGAGATATCTCCCACGGACGAAATGACGGAACGTCCAGGACAGGGCAGTGCCTAAAGGAGTTCTTCATTCTAAAAAAAATGTAAAGAAAGAAAAAGAGAAGAATGTTTGTTGTGAGAAGCACTGCTCCGCGGACCATAGGATAGGTGCACATTTCTGTTTCGGGCTGAGGCTGGCTGACAGTGCCCATTCACTAGCTTTCGCTCCGGACAGCACAATGAGGCCAATTACTTTAATTGCAGTTTCAAACCCGGGTGGATGCGAAAGCTCCCAGCCAACCAGGTACCAGCAGGAAGTTTGAAATAAACGACGCAATACAATCGTCGTTTTGCCCTCACCTCTTTCCTCCACCCTTTACATATTCTCCTGTAATACGATTCTTCCGCTAATTTTTTATCGGCCGATTAAAAATTAGATATCAAAGCCCTGGAAGACTAAGGCACCGTGTTGGTGGGCATGTTCAGCTTTGGGAAGCTGAGCAGCGCTCACCATGCTTACTAAGTGGAGTGGTGAACACGAGTGAACACCTCGGAAAAAACGATGGTCTAGACTGGGAAAGAGGAAAAAACATTGAAAATGAAAACGAATGAATTTACGTTACGGAAAGTAAAAATGGAAGGAAACAGCGTCTGTACTTAAAGGTATAAAGCCGAAAGGTATACATTAATGGGAAGTAATGAGAAAAGAAAATTGATAATTAGATATCAATCAAATAGTAACTACTGTAATTTTTCCACAGAATTGTTGATTTTTTTGAAAAATCAAGCTGCTTTCCTGTTTCGGTCATCAATGGAATATTATTTCATACTTGACCAATATCTTCTGCCATCCCCTCCATAGCCGAAATAGCTCAGTTGGGAGAGCGTTAGACTGAAGATCTAAATGTCCCCGGTTCAATCCCGGGTTTCGGCAATTAATTTTTTTTAATTACCATATTTAGCCTTATGAAAAGCAACCTCAGTATTGTTATCCGGAAATACTAACCTCGCCGAAATAGCTCAGCTGGGAGAGCGTTAGACTGAAGATCTAAATGTCCCCGGTTCAATCCCGGGTTTCGGCAATTGATTTTTTTTCAAATTACCATATTTAGAATTATCAAAAACACCTCAGTATTGTTACCCGCAAAATACAACTTTGCCGAAATAGCTCAGCTGGGAGAGCGTTAGACTGAAGATCTAAATGTCCCCGGTTCAATCCCGGGTTTCGGCAATTGATTTTTTTTCAAATTACCATATTTAGAATTATCAAAAACACCTCAGTATTGTTACCCGCAAAATACAACTTTGCCGAAATAGCTCAGCTGGGAGAGCGTTAGACTGAAGATCTAAATGTCCCCGGTTCAATCCCGGGTTTCGGCAATTGATTTTTTTTCAAATTACCATATTTAGAATTATCAAAAACACCTCAGTATTGTTACCCGCAAAATACAACTTTGCCGAAATAGCTCAGCTGGGAGAGCGTTAGACTGAAGATCTAAATGTCCCCGGTTCAATCCCGGGTTTCGGCAATTGATTTTTTTTCAAATTACCATATTTAGAATTATCAAAAACACCTCAGTATTGTTACCCGCAAAATACAACTTTGCCGAAATAGCTCAGCTGGGAGAGCGTTAGACTGAAGATCTAAATGTCCCCGGTTCAATCCCGGGTTTCGGCAGTCGAAATTTTTACCTTTTTTTAGCTAATTTATTGGCCAACTAAGGTACAAGTTAATTATCACTCGGTTCATGGTTTCGTGGAATGTAGGGAACGATTTGAAAGTCTGGAGTACGTTATGTTGGAGGCATTACTGCCTTGCTTTCTTGACACTGGTCTTGTGGAGCAGCAAGACGTCAAACTCTTTGACGGGCCATCGAAGCAGGGCAAACCGACAGTCTGCTGTGATCGTTCTATCTTTACTTTTTCAGGTAATACTCCCATCAAAAGTGTGGTTATGCAATAAAATACCACGATTAGCACGATCAGAACTGCCGCAATCTAGTTGTCAATTTTCGAGTTAAGGAGCACTATTTCTTCATATTATGTAGATTTCTGACTTATCAGTCACATACTGATCCGGATTATAATGATATCCTAGGTAACATGTTACGTTGGATTAGAAATCACCATAAGACCATGAAGAAATCAAATTCAATAATGATCATGAGGTAAATAATTCTTGAAGAAAAGTCGTAAAGTTTTGTTGAATTTTTTTTCCTCACTAATACGAATACGGTCCCATGGTGTAATGGTTAGCACTCTGGACTTTGAATCCAGCGATCCGAGTTCAAATCTCGGTGGGACCTATTGAATTTTTTATAAAAATTCCCGTAATTATCAGTGGATCAAAGGATACGACTATGAGCAGAATGTGAATAGGACTATTTCCAAGCCCTGGAAAGGGCAATACAAACACATTACACATGTGTATATATTCATTGATTGGCTCAAGATTGCCGAGAGGTTGGGACGTCCATCCTTCATCGCAGATACATAGACCAGTTTGCTTATCGTTATGCCCGTGATGACATAGTATGTTCTACATTTTAATCAACATTCTCAATACGTTCTGAAACCTGAAATCATATTAGTGATAACTAACTCTAATTTTAGGCTTCGATTCTGATCGCCAAGCCACTTCTGCCGCCCCTCCACTCAACGACTGTATTTCCTCCTGAGTCACTAAATTTTCCATATTGCGACAAGTATTGTTGATAGCGTCATACACCTAATAAGTCCAAATAAAAGCTGTTATTATGCATTATTTGAATGCTCCTTGCAAGGAACGATAAAGAACAATTCAACAGGAGAATGGTTAACTTCATCTTGACGTGATCTCATTTGAAATTGATGGGCTCGAGCACAATTTCTTATGTACTCATATTGAAAATGATCTTTCCCTAACAAGCTTCTGAATCATTTACCCGAGTGGAAATTTCGCTCAGTTTGCCTGGGAGTCGATCAATTTTAGATCCAATACTGGTCAGAATTGGTAAGATTCTGATTAGAATACCTAGATCCTACGTTCCAGAGTGAATTCCAACCCAATTTTGATCATTCAAATCCGGATTGGATTCGGATCCGATACTGATCAGAAAGATCAGATCCTAGTATGTTGATCAGACATGGATCCAATCTAGCCTTGCATTTCTAATCCAAAACAGATAAAAATCAGTATTTAGTAATCAGTCTCTTATACTAGCTTGATTCGAATTTCCGCTCGGAAAATAAATATATCTCTATCCAACAGTTGGTTTTCAATCCAAACAGAATTTTCATATTATCAATCATCAAGTGAACAAAGTAATCACGACATCCAAATCAATTAGAACCCCAATTCATTACTAGCATCGATGCACCCCGAGCAATTTTGATAACAGAAAAAAAAACCGCAGATTTCCTACTGTCGTGCTGTAATACTTAGTCTCAAAGTGAAAGAAAATAAGTGGGGTGGGAGTTAGATAGCCGGAGCGCAAAAGCTCGGCAAGTTTTATCAGGTCGGTGTAGCCTTCCATCCGTCATCATTAGCCCGCCGTAAATTATGAGAGTGTAACGTACATTCGTGGCTGAGCGCTGGTGGCCACTGCTGCATTCAAGATATTACACTTTAAATATACCTATGTATCCCCTCAGTATTTTCTAAAGTCGTTGGTGTGCGCGTGGCAACATTTCAAACAAATGCAACCACGCGAGCCGATTATTTATTTCGATGGAATAACAATTTTTCCTCCAATGTGAAAACATGAAAGGACCAAAAACCAGCAGAAAAAAAAATTGAAAAAAAAAAACAATCTGCGATACGAGGTGGGTATACTTGAGTAACCAGAGATGAAAAGAATGGGAACGATGTCAAGGTGGAAGGCAAAATCACCATAAATTAAATTGAATAAATCGTGATGCGAGCACGACTGATCCTTACTATTATGTGGGACCGGTAATACACTTGGATAAAGTGGCGCACGCCACATTGCATGCCAGTTGCGTATATCACGGAAAAGAAAACCAAGACGTACTCTCACAACATTACGCATTAGCACCTATCCGCTATTAGTAGCTACTGTGTAACCCTATAAGACACTTCCGGTATTTGAAAACTGAGACTAATCGTTTCAAACACACCGCGGACAAATTAATTCATTATATAAAAACTGAATTTCTATATCACCATAATATCTTTCCACCATCTCCATTGTTAATTGAAATTCAGCTTACCACATCGGGGAGCTCCTTGTTGGGGTCTGCGAGACATACTGGCACTGACTGACATCTCTGTAGCTGACGATCGAAATAATTCCGTTGGCCATTGTACTTTATCTGACAGTTCACTGGATGACACGCGTCCAATGTGTCCTGATCGGGACTTGAACATTGTCTCACATCAACAGCATCATAGTACTCTGAATATAGCAATACCAAACCAATCACTCTAAGTAACCAATCCCTAAGTCATCCCAAAAAAATAAAACCACCTTCAAGAACATTGGGATTGCTCCCCGTCACCATGGTATTAAACCGAATTTTCCTCCGAGTTTCCTCAACATCATGACCACTCTCAACGGAGATACTAACTGCACACTCGCCTCGTCTATCGTGAAGATACTAAAAAAAATAATTGATAAACCATCTTGTTTTTGCAGGATTGCCATCAGATTCAACATAATGATGAAAATTAAAGAGAAATTATCTACTTCCCTACCATCGCAATGATGGCGGGGACAATAGCAGGGGGAGAAGGACATGAACAGAATACGGTAGAGAAAAACATTGGGGTAGAGAGCGATATTTGCGAGGTAGATCGTCAATGGTGATTACAGAGATAAAGTTGAAAAAAAACACGGTCATTATAAATGCCCAGACGATACAATGCCGATAGCAGGATTTCCAGTAACTTTAATCCATCATTAAAGAATGCCAAATTGATGATGAAAAAATTATGAAACCATCACTTATTGATATCCCCTCACAGCTTCATTCCAAGCTACGTCGAAATCGACAAATTTGCAAAAATAGAATAACCAGCGGAAAGAAGGAGAAAAAGGACTTGAGGAAACTGTAGGTGGGGAGAAAGCGATTTAGCTTAAAAAAAAAAACCACTCATAAATCATGATGGCGGCGAGCTAAAGTGTCCCAGTATTGGTGAGTTGAATACTTTGCACGTATAGCTGAATTAAAGTGTGAATGTGAAGCTGAGGTGGGATGAAGTGGTGGGTAGAGGGGACCAGAGGGAAAGACGGGACAGCAGTGTTTAGTGATAATGTTTTGAAGGGGGGTTTAGGAGGTGGGGAAGGGGACACAAAGCACGGTGGTAGTGGCAGAAATACACCGAGCGAGTATGCTGGTTGGTTCATGTCGGCTCCGCCCCATCAGGATCACGATAACGACCACTATTATATTACTCCCACGCGACAGACTACTACCACCCCCTGGACATAGGGGGTCCCCCCACGAGGCCACCAGAGGGGCAGACTCGTGCAGACTGCTATTTCTCATAATTCTCTCAAATTTTCATCATCGAAGATTTTGTCCTTGAGTGGGAAATTAAGAGTCATGTGGGCTTACTAGAGTTGGCCAAATGAGGGTCACATTCTTGATCCCTTGAGACTCCACTGTAACCACTTCACCGATCAGCTGAATGTGCTGAAAATTATCAACTCAAACTCAGCCAATTGTCATTGGTGTTTAATATTAGTTTCACGGTCGAGTGACTATCGTATTCGACTCACCTCGCACTCAATATCCTCAATAGTAACAATCTCGCAACAGCCTATCATGCGACTGGACACCGCAATTTCCTGCTTCCCCTCGTTCACTAATTCGACGACTGCAATTCATATCGATTGAATTACCATTGAGTCATACATGTATCGAAATAAATTGACGTAATTTCCTTTTCAATCCACTGAGTAATTTGTACCGTCAGGAAACAGATCCCCGGTGAATATGAACGTAGATATTCTACAATATTTTGACAGAGGACATTCGTCTCTGAACGAGAGACACGAAGCGACTAATCCTTTCGACGCTCGAAAAACATTGGAGTAGAAAGGTGAAAGAAGATTTAAAAAAAGACAAGAAAAATAGTAGGATAAACTGGCCTGTCCATCAACTTGTGCATCGCACACGTGGGCTTGGCCCTGAGTTTGGACAATAATTACACTGCGATATAAAACCCAACAATCTCTCGGACGCATCAGAAGCCTAAACATCACCTGCTCTCCTTGCTGTCATTCGAAAGGGTATAAGTAGACTGGTGAGCAGAAAAATGTGAGAAAAAAAAAGTGAAGAGGAGCAACCGAGAAGGGGTGAAAAATCATCTCTGGAATTTGCTACGAGTATTGGTAAAAATCATCAGTTGGTAATTCATTAATTAGCTGTTGCAGCTGTTTGGTCAACTACAAAGTTAGTTCCAACAATTCGCAATCACTTATTGCTGCTTTATTTTGCAAGACTGAGTAGTGTAAGGGCAGAACCGAACTTCTAACAACGTCAAACCAACTTTTCCACCCTAATCGCAGAGAACACTCGGGTTAATGTATAATTCAGAGTTGCACGAGGGGGAAGTCATCGCATCGACGGAGAGTTATACCTCTGTGTGCGCCTTTTATACGAGCACAAACTTCACGTCCAATGGACATAGATCAAACAGTCTTTCTGACGGAATTGTTATGGCTACGAGACAATTTAAATACACTGCACATTTGAGGGATTCCATCCTCTCTGATTCTACCCGAATGACGAAAGAGGTTGATGCCAGACCATTTTCCCACTTCTTGATGGCATCCTTGCTGAAAACAGGTGGACAATTTTCAGATTTTTCGCGTTATCGCCAGGATTTTTTCCCATAAGAGAGGTTTCGCGCACGCTGAAGAACGAAACAAAACTGGCGTTTGGCCTGTTTGAGTGTTGTTACCTACAATCTGGTGTAGCGCGGGATGCCAACTTTGGATTGCGTGTTATAGCCATTGCACGGGGTATTCCGTGTGCGTCGTGATCGAAGCTTCTTCGTGATTGTCGTGGATCTCGTGACGGCTGGTAACCGACCAACCCTCTCACTGAATTTGTGTAGATGCGTTTTTTAAAAGGGTCTGTGTCAATGAGGTCGTTGGATTTGGATGAATTGGTGTCTTGTTTGGAAATTGATTGGCGCCATCATATCATAATCTTGAGATGAAATGCCGCGAGAAAAGAATGAATTTCTCTTCTTGCAGAAGCAAAAATATTGATTCATCTGATTGAATTTTTACGGTATTTGTATAAAGACTATTTCTGCATAATTTAATCTAATAATAACTTAATTTAATTCATCTTGCTGATGGAATTTGTTCAACGCGACATTCATTGGAAGAAATTGAAATCCACGAAAGTGCATCGGGACAATTCTGTTAGGAATTATCCTCATCGCTTGCGCAACTAGAAAACGATTTCGCTAGATAGGGTTTCAACGTATAAGATTGGTCAAAGACAAGTACCATAAGCGCTCATGGACTTGATGACCATTACATTTTGCTTATTGAATGAGAAAAGGTCACATGTCACTGAATCAACCGTTTCTCACACTAATGTCACAATTATCTCCAACATTTGGAAATCTTGAAGGAGATAAAGCAAGCATCACATCCATCTTCAACCATCATGCAAATATCATGCAAAAAATGTCACAATACTCACAGAAGATCATCCCAGCATCCAATCTACCAATGCTCCTGACACCAGAGTTCTGCAATAACAAAGTACAAGTGTACATTAAAAAACAGTGTAAATTACAGTCGTGAAATTTTTCATCGCAGTCTACCTACATGTCGAAGATATTTTTTGTATAATAATACGAAAAACCGAGTAAACCAGAGAATGCGGTGCACACTGAGACGAGAGGGGCCCCCGATTCGTTACACCCGGTATAGACACTACTCTCCGTGGGGCAATTTACGTGTCAGACTTGTCAGGGTGTAATTTGACTGATAGAGGCCCTGGCAAAACGTGACCGAGACACAAAAGCGACGGGGGTATATGTATCTTTTTATTTTCTCCTTTATTTCCAAGTTTCAGCCTTTTTTTTTCGTTTATTTGGTTTCGATGGTAGATAATTGCGACCGAAAAAACCGCTTGATTTCGAAATATCGGTATTTTAATGCGTTGGAATAATGCGACCCACCGTCCCGTGGGCGCCAGGGAGTTTTTTTGTGGTTTGGGGGAGAGAATTTAATGCCCCAAGTCCAGGGGCTTTTTGCGAAATTTCGGCGAATTTTTTTTTGCGGTCAATTTCGTTTGGCTATTCAGGGTTTTTTTTCTATTGGGCAATTTTTTTTTTTGGGTGAGGAGCTTGTACTTACTGCAATGCTCATGCTCGCATTCACCTCAGATGAAATGAGGATTGTCAGAATGATGGGTGGAATCATGATATAAGTCATGTCTTAGAAGAAAGGTTAGTTGAGATTGAATACTCGACGGCTTCCGGTTTCTGTTTTGTTTGACAGGGGCGGAAAAGAACAGTTTAGGGTGACAATTTTTCTCACTTTGGGGATTTTTTTTCGATTAGGGAAATGGACGACTTGCGGTAAGTTTGAATTCCTAATTTGTAAGAAAGTTATTGCAATTGCTTCGAAAATCGAGGGGTACTGATTATTTTAATAAAAAAATTGAATTTTCTGCCGAAAAATTAAGTCTTCGCCTAAAGTTAATAGTTTCTATGGAGTAATTAATTTCTTTCGTGAAAATAACATTTGTTAGGCGTCAATATTTATATTCTTGGAGTAATATGGTTCATGCGCTCTTTTCTTTCCCTCCAAACCCCTCCTCTGGAGTTAGCGTCACACAGTTGTTTTCTATTCATTCTTTTGATCCCGTCTTCACATTTCTCCTTCTGTTTTATCTTCGCCTCATTTTAATCAATAAATTAGTATCTATTTAAACCCGCAAGCTCTCAATGTAATTATTTGGCATAAATAATTTTTCCTCTCAGTGCACCCCAATTTTTCTTACTTGTGACCCTCATAGGAACCGAAATTTCGGTTCAATGACACAGTGCGATGGTGGTGTAATGGTCAGCATAGTTGCCTTCCAAGCAGTTGATCCGGGTTCGATTCCCGGCCATCGCACATTTTTTGCAATTCCTGAATTGAAATCATACCCAACATTTCATAATCGACATGTGTTCAAAATTTTTTCGAAATTTTCATGACCAATTTTCCGAGATTTCCAACAGTTGCAGTACTTTTATACACAAATAATGATACTTCCATCCTCCGTGGTATATTCGTTTTGAATTAGTCCTGAGTACTCTCGCTACCCAACAATGGCGCCATGTGCATAGCGGGATATAGGAACGCATACCCATTGTTGATCAATTGTTGTTACACAAGAAAAGTTGTTGTCCCAAAATTTAACTCAATACACAATTCAAACAGTTGATTATTCCAACATGAATGAGAGTGATAATAGCTGTCGGTTGTGTCTGAACGACTTCGACGAGACTTTCCTGTCGATATTTTCGAATTCCACAAGCGATGGACCATCGCTCTCCACCAAAATCATGATCTGCCTAGCCCTTCCGGTAAATTGACTTCAAATTCATCAATTTTATTCACAGAAAAATGAATATACGAGTAGTTTCTCTGTTGATACAAAATATTTCTATTTCTACGACGAAACTATCCAGGTTACGGACATTGTTGCTCGACCGATAAAGAAATTTCCATTTATATCACCGTCTTATAAAAAATATAAATAAATAGAAAAATAACAATATGAAACGAGTGGGAAATTGCTCTTGTATTGCATATAGTCTAGTTATTTTTACTAATAAATACGCTGTATGCTGCCGAATGGCTATTTTGCGCATCATTTCCTTCTGTCATGTATAATTCATTGTTTATTTAATATTAATGAATTAAATAAGATTTTTTTTCAACTAATTTTGTCAGATTTTCAATTTAGTTGAATGTCATCATCGTCATTATTCTTATTATCCTTTTCTTCTACACAACCGATGGTCTTTTTTTGATACATATTTGACTGGAAATTTTATATTGATATTTGATATTAGGCAATAGATAATCCTTCCTCTTTCATTATTTTCCCCTCGAATTTTTCAATTGAATGTTCAAGACTTTTCTTTTCTTTTCAATGAAATAGACGTTCTCGGCCATATGTTCTCAAATTATTTAAATTCCTTTGGGCCATGTTTCGGTCAGCAGCAGTAATCAACAGGAAAAAATATAACTAGTTCAATTGCATTACGTTTCGAATACACAAAGCATTCCTCTTCTTTCCTCTCCTTGTTCCGTGGAATCGTTAAAACTTTACTATTCATTTTTCTGAACCTGTCCCCCCACACGATGAATCAATAATAAGAATAATCACAATAATGATAAATCAGCAATTATTACAATATTTAAATACTGCTCTGTGTAAATAAAACAAATACCTCAAATTGTTTAATTTTCAGATTGAGCCCACGACTTCATTCTCCACGAAAATCTGTAAAAATTGCAGCGAAGAAATCACCCGTTTCTACGATTTCCGGGACAAATGCTTGAGAACTCATTACAGTTTATCCCGAAGTTACAAAGATTCAAATAATCGAGAGGATTGTTTCACGAAGGTTGAAAAACCAGACGAAATAATTCCGGATCGCGATCCAGCCCTGGCCCCCGACGATGATTTCCAAGAAACATCGAGAAATCCTGGTTCTATGGCTCCGAAAACGAACTCCTCCCAACGATTTCTGCATCCACTCCCAAACGAAAGCGTATCCACCCCAAAAAACCAGCTGGAAGAGACCCCGGACATCCGGCAGGACCCGACGATTTCCCTAAAAACGGAATCCGAGAGCACAATTTACGAATACAAATGTCTGCACTGCAACAACTCATTCTCAGACTTGGACGCAGCCTCGATCCACTGCATGGAGTGCAGTATTTCACGTGAGGGGAGGAACCTCCCCTCAGAAGACATCACCAATACCACATCAAAGGACCAAAGACCAGAAAGTGAAAGAAAGAGAGTCCCCCCTGACCCCCAGGAATCGAGCGCAATTTCTTCGAACCAATCACCAAAAAAAATCAGACCAGAGAAAGCAACTGTTGAATGCTCAGAGTGCAATACAAAATTCTCGAGTGCATCTCTCCTGAAACGTCACATGCCAGTGCACACGGGTGAGCGTCCATTTGCCTGCGAGACCTGCAACAGAAGATTCTCCCAGATGGGACAGTTAAATTTCCACCGAAAGTTCCACGACAACCCCCGCTACCGCTGCAAATTCTGCGAGAAGCCCTTCCTCCGTCCCAGTGACGTGGAGAAGCACATGAGGACTCACACAGGTGAGAAGCCCTTCACCTGCGAGATCTGCGACAAGTCCTTCGCGCAATTGGTGGCCCTGAAGCAGCACGAGAGAGTCCACACTGGTGACAAGCCCTACAGCTGTGAAATTTGTGGCAAAAGGTTCTCGCAGAAAGCGAATAAAACGAAACATTTGAAGATTCACAAGGAGGGGACGAAGCCTCACACTTGTGGAGTGTGTGGACGTAGCTTTTACGAACACGAGGAGATGGTGCTGCACAGGGCGGGACATGGGGGTGGAAAGCCGAGGAAGTGTGATCAGTGCGACGAGAGGTTCAGAAAACTCTCGGAATTGACTGATCATGTCAGGAGGTACCACACCTTCGAGAGACCCCACAAATGTGTGTTTTGTTCCAAGGCGTTTTACTCTCTGTATAATCTGAAGCAGCATGTCATGATTCATACTGGACAGAGGCCATACCCATGTGCAATGTGTGAATTGAAATTCACGCAGAAGGGGAATTTGGCGAAGCATTATGAGAGGAAACATAAAAATAGAGGATCCAGTCTGGGGGAGGATGGTAAAATTGAAAATAATACAATTAATGACTGACACGGCGTCCATATGTCGTGTGGACCTAAGCGAAAATGCAGAACACTTTTCGAAATTAGATCATTTCGAAACTATGACAGATAGTAAAATGAAACCGACACCATTGGAAAGCTAAATTGGAGAGGTTTAACTACATATGGGTTTGATAATTTTTCGTCCATCAGAAGTTATCAAATCTCAGGGATATTGAGCTCTCGTTAGACGCGAGGGGTTCACTGATTTGTTAGCAACGTTTTTAAGTAGTTCCACTTGAAATTTCGGTGTTGAAAAGACAAAACCGCACACTTGTAGAGTCTATGGACCAAGTTTAATGTGTAGGGACAATCTTGCATTGGGTGGGATATGGGGATGGATAAGCGAGGAAGAAACGTACGAAATTGACTGTCATGTCGGGAGGTACCACACGTTCGAGAGACCTCACAAATGTGCGTTTTGTTCCAAGACGTTTTACCCTTTGTTTAATCTGACGCAACATGTCAACAAAAATCGCATGGAAAAATTCATAAGGGGTGAAACCCCACACTAGTGAAATCTCCGGAAAAAATTTCTATGAATACGAAATTATTACTTATTCTCAGCAGGAGCCATTCCCCTGTGCAATGTGTGACTTGAAACTCCTGTAGAATCCTAATTTGACGAAACGGTATGAGAGGAAGTATAAAATACTATAGATGAAGTCCGAGGGACAATGGAGAAGTTGAAAATTATATGAAAATTAATGACTGACGACTCAACTTCGTTAACTAATACGTTATGAACATGATTATGTATCATATTGAGGACTACTCACTTCCCTCATTTCACAATTGAAAAAAAAAACTATAAAAACCTCACGTGATTGATCGTAAATGCCAGTTAATTCATAACAATATTTATTTACACTCATCTCACACGTTTCAACTATTAAAAATCAAAGTACCTGAAAAATTGATCGCCTACTCACAAGACTTCAATACTGACCTCAATCCTGTGACACTGTTTAAAAATATTAATGTAAATACTTGATGTTAATAGAAACGAAGCTAGTGAACAAAACCTGTGGAAATTTGAATGATGCACTCAACCTTCGCACACGCACTGAATTATTCCCCTTGAAAAAATACAGCGTACAAAATCCTTAGACTATTCATAATCCCTAAACAGTCTGAGAGCATGACTCTCATTTTTGTACAATTGAACTGTTCAGTTCTTCATTAAAAATACAATTAATTGAAACTCACAGCTAACGAACAAGTAAACTTACTTCCCTTTGCGATCCCTGAGTGACTGTAGTCCAAATTCATCGAAAAATTGATCAACTTTTATTTACATTATATCAGCAATGACTTGACCCTGTCATCGTCAATTTCCTGAGTCACATTTTGGAAATTCCCCACCAACAACTTCTCGAAAATTCCACTAAGAGCCACTTGAGCAGAGTTATCCATGGCATCATTTCCCCCCTCAAAGTTCATCAGTTCTAAATAATCACTTGATTGCAAGAGATTGTCCCCTAATATGTGATCAGATAATTCATTCATTGTCAGAACGTTTGAGGATCTTTGGTACTTCAGACATTGAATCAAAATTTTGTAATTCATTAGTTTCTGGATGCGGAGGCCCTTGGGGCGTGCTTGTTACGCACCCAGGAGCTTCATAATTACCTTTTGATTGGCTAATCTGAATTGTGGGGGTCGCTAAATTAGTTGACACATCCTCTTTCACTCCGATCTTGATTAAATTACTGGGAATTGTCTGGATGGATCTGATCTGAGTGACGCTTGTGATTTTTCTCTTGACGATTCTACATCTATATCAGCATGGACTTGAGCCAGTCGTCATCAATTTCCTGAGTCACATTTTGAAAATTCCCCACCAACAACTCCTCGAAAATTCCACTAAGACCCACTTGTCCAGAGCTATCCATGGCATCGTTTCCCCCCTCAAAGTTCATCATTTCTAAATAATCACTCGATTGCAAGAGATTGTCTCCTAACATCTGATCAGATAATTGATCAACACCAGGTTTCTCTTCAATTTCATCGTCTGAAAGTTTGAGGATCTTCTTTGGTACTTCAGGCATTGAATCAAAATTTTCTAATTCATTAGTTTCTGGCAGCGGAGGCCCTCGGGGAGGGCTCGTTACACACCGATTGGCTTCACAATTACCTTTTGAGGGGCTAATCTTAACTGTGGGGGTCACTAAATTAGTCGCCAGATCCTCTTTCACTTCGATCTTGATTAAATTATTGGGAATCGTCTCGATGGATCTGATCTGAGGGACATTTGTCATTTTTCTCTTGACGATTTTAGATCTAAAATCATGTTTCCCTCGGTTACCATCACAAGTGGAAGGCCCTGTCCCCTGCTTCATCACCGCAATTCCAATTTTCCCAACTGGAACTGAACTATCGATGTCAAAGATACTTGAGACTGGGTTTGAGAATTTCTCGTTGGACTCTTGGGGGCTCTCTTGTTTGATTGGTTGGTGGGTGAGGACTGCCCTGGACCTGTACGTCGGGCTAATTTTACCGGTGAAAGGGGAGCTAATAGTGCTCGGTGTTGTCACACCCAAATTATCGAGTTTTCCACTGTCTTTTGAGGAACTTTCGTTGCTGGGAGTCACAGGGGGTGTGTAGACACCCAGTTCAGTGGAGATCGCTGTCGCTTCCTTATTCTTACCAGTTTCAGTCCTCGAATAGGTCTTTTTCGATAGCTCCTCGATCCTTCGGGGGATGAATTTGAATTCCTCGTAGCCGAAGGGCCAGGGACACTGAAAAAACAATGGAAATGTTAGTCATTATGAAAATATAACCTCAGGTTAAATAATAAGGACGATCTTCTTGCATTGAAAAAAGTCATGAGTGTCCATTTTGCCCCCCTAGTCCCCAAATTTCGTGAACGAATGCATTATTTCGCAAATTTGTCAGGTCTTTCACATGAAAACAATTGTCATTTCATATTCAGCTGCCAAATCATTCAGTTTATTCAATGCAAATTGTTTGTTTGTTTGTTCATGCGATATTGAAGCTTCAAAGTGATAATTATATGGAACTTCCCCCCATCGAAATAAAAAAATATAATTTTTAACAGAATTTTTTCGTTTTGGAAGTTCTAAAAATTCACTCACCTTTTCCTCCTCGCACAGCCAGACAGCCTCATCATGATTCACCTGTATAGCCCTGATCTTCTTGTAATTACCCACTTTATGACACAGTGGACAATACTCATCCATCCTACAACACCAATATTAATGAACAAATGTGGCGTTGCCCCTTTGTTTTGAGGTTAAAAATGAGATACGTTTGGGAATCGTTTGGGGTGGAATACGTACTTTTAGCGTGTGTCAGGTGGGCACACTCAACAGTCATGCGAGGCCTTGAAAATTACAATATATACATTATTCTCAGTTGTTTTTTGAATCCTGTAAATACTCGTAATATAGTTTATACTAATTTTACCGGTTTAATAGCGACCGCATGTTCAAAAAAATAAACACCAGCAAGAGATTACGCGGCCATATTGAATTGTTAGAGATTAGCGACGCCACGCGGGAATTTACAATACTTCCGAGGCTTTTGTTGGGTTTTCATGATATTGTACTTATGTTTATAAACAAAGTCCTGTTCAGAAACCACTTCGTTGCCATAAAATAGTTTTTTAATGGAAAAAATATAAGCAATTGAGTGATTAAGCTTGTGGTAGTCGTGGATTACGTGGGCGTTTGGGGGTAATAAATAAAATGCCTTTTTTTACGAATAAATTTTCACCGAAGAAAACGCCGATTAGGAAAGCGTCGGTATCGTTGGCGAATAAGGACTTGAGTCCGAAAAGAATTGAGAGGGAACTTGGACCGGATATCGGGGCTATTAGGATTCGGTTGGGGGAACAGGAGGCGACTTTTGATGGGGGCAATTGGATTCCGGGTAAATTATTATAAACGGTTTTTTATTTTGTCAATTTGATAATGAACATGACATCCTTTCGATAGTGATTTATTTTAGGAGAGAATGTTGAGACATTTTTTATGGAGAAAGTGGTTTACTACAAAAATTATACCAATATTTTCTCAAAAATGTCACTCGAGAAGTCTCTGAGATTAATTTGAATAACAAATGGGAAATTGCTCTTGTATTGCATAGAGTACAGTTATTTTTGTTAATAAATTAGTAATGTGTCTTCTATCATGTACAATGCTTTATTTTTTTTTTTATTGGAGTGAATAAGATTTCTTTTCAACTAATTTTGTGAGATTTTCAACTTAGGTGCATGTTATCATCATTATTATTCTTATTGTCCCTTTCTTCTATACGACCGATTGTCTTTTTACAGTTCTACCTCTCTCAGCCCTCCCATAAAATGTTAATAGAAACTTTTAAATTCATGAAAAATTAGACATTTCCAACAATTATCATATAGATTAAATCATTGAATGTAGCTATCGTACTCATCTTTTAACTTCGACTTAGTGGCATTTAAACAAACATTTTAAGCTATAATTGAATTCATTTGAAGCATGATATTCAAAGATATCCTCCCAATTCGAATTTTCAAAAAATACTGGGTCAATATACCCCAAAAAAATCCAAAAAGATTACAAAGCTACTCGCAGCAAAAAATTCTCACAACTGATCAAATATGAAATTATTGCTTTCAACTTCAGAAACTGGAAAGGTAGGAGGCACCTTCAAAGAGAATGAAAAACTGAAAAAAGAAGTTCGACGACTGGAAGAAGAAAATAATTTATTGAAGATAAAGTTCGATCTGCTATTAGACATGGTGAGAAATTAATCTCAAATCGATCTCTTTAAAATCTCCCTTACACTCTTTGGAAATGAATCCTGGAATTACAGAAAAAAATTTTGAAATTTTGAACGTCTAATGTGTGCTTTTACTGACAAATCATTAAATTTCTGGAATATGCAAGAAAATTTGCTTAAATTTTCAATTTCAAGATCCATATGACGATAAAAATGGTGGAAATTGAAGCCATTTGTTTTTTGAATTTTCAATCTGTCGAAAATACAGTTGAATGTCATTTTTAATTTTCAGAAGAAGTTAGTTGACCATGAAACACTCAATTTCGTTGAATTTTCTAGATGAATAAAAAATCCCACAAACGATATTCCCCCGCATCGAATTACAAAACATTCAACAGTATAACGCAATCATCTTTACAGATCACAGAGACAACAGTTGAGGCAGAGCTACACAAAACCGAACTCCAAAGTCTTAAAGCAAAACTGTCAAGATCTCGCAAATGACATCAACAATTATCCTAAAACCTCCAAAGTCAACCAGATGCCAGCTGATATCCCCAATTATCCCCAACCCACAATTAACATAATCATCTCTACAAATTAAAGACAACAGTCGAGGGAGAGCCCCGCAGACCTCGAGATCCTCAATCCCACTGTCGAAATCTCGTAAATAATTATCACAATTCTCACTGATTAAGGCACTGAATTCATAAAAATGTGTCATAAAATTACTCTCTGTACAATTACTGAACATTCTGAAGGCAGTGCAATATGCACCTAACTGAATATAGACTAGCCACGTTAATTATTTTGAGGGCAAGTTCTCTTGGTGTGACCTTCTACCCCACACACTCCACATTTTCTCTTGACACCAGTCCCTCCTCTGCCCCCTCGTCCCCCTCTTCCCCCTCTGCCTCCACCCCATCCACCCCCGCCCCCTCCCCCGCCCCCGCCGCCAGGATTATTCTCTCCATCTCCATCAGCCCAGACGAAAAATTTACAAGTGCTCCCCATCCCCTGTGGACAGCCCCAGAACTGTCTTCCTTGGTTGGGTCCCTCCTTCCTGACAGTTAATTTCCTCGCGGGCTGTCCACACTGGCACCGAGGGGCATTATCATCCCCTTGATTATGATTCCTATCCCCACCTCGTGGGGGAGGATCCCACTCGTCATTACGTCTGGCCGGCTGATTCCCTCTGGGTGGTGGTGGTTGATGTCTCGGTTCAGCCTGTCCAAGATCTCCATCGTCAGCCCAGAGGAAGAAGTCACAACCTGTTCCCTGGGATTTAGAACATTTATAGAACAGTCTTCCCTGGTTGGGCCCCTCCTTCCTGACTGTCAGCTGGACAGCTGGCTGATGACAATTGCACATGAAGGAGTGAGTGTCGTTTTGGGGGGTTCGAGAGGTGCTGGGGGGTCTGGGAGGCGCCACTCTGGGTTTCTTGGGGCCTGGGGGGGCGGGCCCGTCATTATTGCTGCGTTTGGAGTTTCTGGGGTTGTCTGGGGGTCTCATCGGTCCTGGGTTGGGGGGACGGGGGGGCGCAGGTGGGGGTCTGGGGGCAGGACGCGTGCTCTGTGTTGATGTTCCTGGGAGGGATCTTCCGGTGCTTCCGTTCTGGGGACGAGCAGCAGCTGGGGAGGTCATGAGGTATTTGAATATCATGTAGATAGAATAAAAATCACTTCTTTTCATCGCATCCAAATATGGATATCATAAAGTGTAATATTTAGGATGAAAAATTCATTTCGTAATGTGAACAATTCAAGGCGAATTAATATTTTAAACAATTTGTCCAATTTTGAGAAAAAAATTGAGATTTAAAAAATTGAACTTTCAAGTTTTCGGTGGAAAGGCTCTCTAATTCATGGAATTTATAGAATTCATAGAATGCATAAAATATTGATAAACTATAATTTGATCCCAGATGTTTTGAAAAATTGGTCATCGCTTGGAATTACCTGGTGCAGATGCCTGGAGTCTCTGAGTGCTCTGACTGCTCCCATACCCACTGTCCGGAAGGCCAGCTCCCCTCTTGATGTTCGCCTCACGAATCCCCATGATCTCATTGAACATCTGATCACACCCCCCAATGCACGTGTCCACCTGAGACCCCAGCAATGGCACAGTCCCAGGTCGAATCTTCACCCTCAACTTCCTGAAGTCCTGGCACCTGTTGCAGGAGTCTGGGAGTACCGAGACCCCAGTGACAGTCTCGGGGAACCAAATGGCATTGGTGCAGCCTGGAAACCCCATGCACCCAATGTACTTGCCCACCCCCTGCCGTTTGTCCTTCAACGTCATGTTGCAACCGCACTTGGGGCACTTGAATATCACCACCTCCTCGGGTGGCTCCGTCATCTCTAGCTCGGGAGCATCACTCGGTCTCTCGTCCAAGTACTCCGACAAAGCTGTGTCAATTAAATTCGCACGCTCCAGTGCCACTCTGAAGACCTCTCTGTACTTATTTATTTGTGTCTGCAAAACCTCCTGGGGGGTCTTCTGACCCTCGCAGATGAGTTTCAAGTCGTTCTCGAGTTCAGCTCGAAGATTGGGCTTTGACATCTGGAATCCCATGTTGTCGTAGCCCAACACCAAGCCAATTCCCAATTTTCCCGGGATCAGGTACTGATTGTCTCGCATACCCACGTACTGACGAGATTTTATGGTGTCGATGTGCTCGGCGTGGGTTGCGTCAGTGCCGATTCCGTGCTTGTCCATCAGCGCGATCAGGTCGGCTTCGGTTAGGAGGTTCGGGGGGGAGGTCTTCTCCTCCACCATTGATATGTCCGTTGGCCTGAACACCTGCGGAAAATTAAGTTTGGAATTATTTCGCTGAGAATCGTCTGGAAGATTTGGGATTCATAAAGACAATCAAATTCGATATTTCTAGTGATGCAAAATGGTCAATTTTTTTACAGGTTGTTCTTAATTTGTTTTTTTTTTTAAACTAAAGATGCCACTTACGGAAAAATTTTGTAGAAAAACCCATTAAATTCGCCAGAAAATTCTACTGGATTCGTATTTCGCAGTTTATCTGGGCGTTTTCTTACAGTAAAATAATGTGCAATGGAAAATATTTTATAGAAAGAATAAATAGGATTAATTTCCTCCCAATTTGATTGACAAAATTTTCATGTATTGACGAAAAATCTTACTTTAATATCCTGAATATCTCGAGTCACCAAATCCCCACAAGTGCAAAACCATTCTTACTCAAACAAAAAAAAACCCACAGACCTGGCGTTCCTCATAGAGATGAATCTCCTTAGCATTCCACCTCTCATAAATATAAACGTCCAGATAATTCTTCGCAATGATCTGGAGTCCATTCGTCGTGAATTTCTCGCCAGCAATGTCAATCTCCACAGTTGTCTCGAAGCCCTCAGCGTTCTTCGAAAGGCAGGCGAGGAAGTGTCGAACCACAAACTCATAGACTCTCGCCTCATTCCCCTGGAGCGAGTCCGTGAATTTCGTCGGGTGAATTGGGGGATGGGCCTGATCGCTCTTCTTGCCTTGTCGAGGTGTGATGCCCTCGTTGAGGACTCGTTGAGCAAATGCCCCCCACTCTGGATGATCGGCCTGCTGTTCCACGAGAGGCTGGAGACTCAAGCCCTGCGGGAATATGTTGGTTTCAGTCCTTGGATAGCTGATGAAGCCCTGAGTGTACAGTCTCTCAGCGATCTTCATGGTCTCCTTAGCGTTCATCCGAAGCTTCCTCGAGCCTTGCTTCTCCAGCTCCACAGTGTCCAGGGGCACTGGACGCCACTTGCTCTTGGGTTTCGTCGTGATTCTCTCGACTGTAGCGTCAGGATTCTCCAGGCAAATGTCCAGGAACACCTGGCAGGGCGTCTTCTCGAATAATCGGTGTCTTGCCCAACGAAATTCCACGTTTAGGTTGTCGTGGTTGTCGCTGACCCTGAGCTTCCAGTACGGCTCGGATTTGAAGCGCTCGATGGCGAGGAATCTCTCGACTACGAAACCCAGGGTGGGGAACTGACAGCTCCCGTAGCTTATCAGCATTTCGGCTAGGGTGCGGGGGAAGACCTTTTGGAGGCGAAGGGTCTGGAAACGAGTGAAGGCTGCACCTATTCGGAGATCCAGCTCTGAGCGGACGTCCACTGCATCGCTCACCTGCTGATTTGGCACACCCAGAGTTTGGATCGCTCGATTTATCGAGGTCGCTGTTATCTCGGAGAAATTCGCCCTGGGAATGTGGGGGACTTGTGAAGACGGTTTTTCAATGGACAAACGTTTCAATAACGAAACGGTAAAATGATTCAAGTAGACTTTAGCTTAGTTTTCGAGCAATATCTGCGAATGCAATAGACGTCCCTGGGGACTAAGAAGTTGCAGATTAGGAATGCAAAAATGAGTTTCGGATGTATTGAAGAATTGATATGGTTTATTTCGTGTTTTGGAAACTATTAAATTTTGAAGAAACAATCAGAAGAGATTTTCTTAAAGGGTTATTAAAAGCTCTACAAAAAATGCATCCCTCTGAAATTATTCTAAACATCTCCCTTTGAAGATGTTTAGAATATACGCAACAGATATGATAATAAAAATAATTAAAATGACTGCAATAATAATAATCAAAATGTAAAATAAATTATTAGATTTTAAGGCCTGAATAAACGGAAAAAAATCATACGTTCAAAGGAAAATAAAATGAATGAAAGAACGAAGAAAGATTTGTTCTCCACAATAAGTTTTCCATTCTTTGTTATTGTGTCCCTGAATGTAATCGATGGAATTAATTAATCACCTGTAAACTCTGATGTTCGGTTTAACAGCCTGGCAGACTTGAATAATCTCATATCCAATATTCTCCCCCTCTCTATCACAATCAGTCCAGATGATGAGAGCCCCACAGCCCCTCACCTCCCTCTCGATCGTCTTCTTGATTTTTATGTAATTATCGTCTGAGCACTGCTTCGTCACAGGTGCGTCGAAGAGGGAGAGGGGGTGGCATCCCTGCCACTTCCTGTAGGCCCCCACGAAATCGTAATTTAGTAAATGACCGGAGACCGAGGTCATCACCATCGTGCAGTTCTGGTTCCATAAATTAATCTCGAATTCGTAGATCTTGTTGTATTTTGATAGCCCCTCTCTCTATTTATAACAAAATCACGTAGTAGGTTGATTTAATTGCATCAAATGTAGAGGAAATGGGACGAATGCGCTTCATTCAGAAGTGTTTTCAATGGATATGTGAAAGAAATGTAAAAAATTTCTTCTGAAACTTTTTTTGTCGAAGAATTTGAGGGCAATAAAGATGATTTTCTCTTGAAACATCCGGGAACATTTATAGTTTTTTTATTGAGATCTTGAAATCTTTGCAGAATATCCAAAATTTTGTAGAGATATTAGATGCAGAAAAAATTGATCAATTTATTCAAGCGAATTTAATCAATAGTTTACTAATTCATTGAGTAATGATAATTTCATAACAAATTAATAGTAAATTAATGATTAATAAATTGATTAATTGATATTGAGTTCATCAAATGTTTTCATGTTTAAATCTGAGGAAAATACAAAATATTTGAAATCATTTCTACCGGGAAGATTGAGACCTAAAAAATTCCTGATTGAGAACTGAAAAAATTTTCAAACAACACTTGTTTGACAACTTGTTTATTTTTCTCTCAGTGTAGGAGCAATTGTTGGAGAACTTTGAGACTTTCAATTTTAAATAAATGAATTTTTCTTTTGATGATTTTCAACTAGCGATTGATTTAATCCAAAACAAGACTGAATTTTTCTCCGAGTGTCCCACAGCTTCAACTTCATTCCCCAAAGAGACTATAAAAATCAGTACGAAGTGGTAAACAGTTCAAGGTGATTTCTTCCTCAGCTGAGTTTTCGCGGAATATCTCCGAATCTACAGGAGATAACGAAATTTTCGTGACGACCTTTTTTGCAGAGCAAATTAAGGGCTCCAAGAAGGTTCCAACAATAATTTTGCTATCTTCCTCAGGTTCCGAGATAATCCTTGACATCTGGGCAACAGTCAAAATCGACAAACCGGTTTACCACTTTACTACTTAAGCCTTCTCATCTTTCCCATAAAAATCATGAAAAATCCACTTCACTCGATGAATCACAAATCCATTACTCACCCGTCTCGATGCTCCCCTGGACAACAGTCCAGCGATATTCTTCGCGGCATCGTTCTTCTCCGCGACATTTAACACCTTCATAACGCCCCCGCACTTCCCCTCAATGACCCCCGATTTACCACAGAACCCCCTCACTCGTTCCCTAAAATTCTTCCTGATTCCCAAACAAACCCCAAAAAAACGAAACCGCATACTTCAATTTGAGGTTAAGACGTCTCGTCATTTCCCGCATTGACAGTCCTCAACACCAATTAATAATAATTCCCGAAGCCCGTCAATTATCTCAACAAATCGTCAATCACCTGCAATTCCCCCGAAACAATCCGCACCGACTGATCATCAAAGTCTTTGTAATTTTTGTCGCTAAACGATGTCAACAACATTTGGCGGTCTTTCACTCAAACGTAAGAGGTCATCTGTAGTTCTCGTGTGTCGCGCAACAGTGCGGATGTCGCGCAGATTTTCCCACCGAAGCACTGATTGGATAGTTGAAGTTGCACTCACCGAGGGAATAGAACCAAACATAACTCCCAATTTTCAGTGCAGTTGAACTTTCCAGAGAATTCAACTCCTCGTGCTAAAATCATTAGTCTTTCCGCTGTCGCATTTATCAGTGAAAAAACACGCTCAAAGACAAGATAATGAGGGAAATTGTGCATCTGCAGGCGGGACAGTGCGGCAACCAAATTGGTTCCAAGGTCGGATTTTCTATTTATTTTAAATTTAATATTTTCCAACGGATGTTTGCCATTTTTCACGGCGTGCCCTCGAGGCTCTCGGCTCAGGGATGCTATTGCGTTTAATTGAATTAACGAAATGTCCGGACACTCGAAACTTGATCAGAATGTTTCATCGTCGAGCATCAATTGTTGGAAATGATTATTAATGTTCTTTTATTTTTTCTTCCTTTTTATAATTTTATTCATATTTTTCGTATTTTTTTGGCCGTTACAGTGATTTCCATTTTTCTTTTATTTCTTTTTATTCGGTTTCATTGAAATGTTCAACACGTGGTGGCATTATTAATAGACATTTTTCCATGGATATGAATAGGATGGAATGCGGGGAATAAAAAAAATTGCGTGTGACTAATATGTGTCATGGATTCGAGGAAGAGAAAATTTTGAGATATGGGTGGAATATTATTACGCGATAAGTTTCGCGCAGGAAGATAATCATCTTATCTTTGAGGATTGGGTGATTCGGGGATTGTTGAGGGCCTGTAACGGTGTGGAGACGAAAAATGATCGGGGAAAAATTGGAGAGAGAGAAAAGGGTTTTTGGTATGCGCTTGAAATAACTGGGGTGTTATGTAGTGCTGAGAAATGCCTGGGTATAGGTGACATGCGTTCTATTCGAATAGACGACGTTGGTACATGCGCAGCTGCTATTTTAGATTTTATTTGAATTCTCGTGTATTTTTCGAAGGCGAGGGTTCGGGGGGCTTTAACGGTTTCCGGGGTGGGATTTGTCGTTATGGGGAGTTATTGGTCTTCAAGTTTTTCTTGTTGAATTTCTTTATTTGCGTGAGGCGGGGGAACGGGACCTAGGATCGCCAGCATTCGCCGTTTTCTCTTTTGAAATGTAATGGGCGCCATAAGCGGTTTCGACTTTTGAGAAATGCGTTATTATTTTTGGAATGAAGGATTTCAAGGGAAATTGTCAAAAGATTTATTTTTGTGGCTGAGGAAATTTCCTGGGAAAAGATCTCTTGAAATTCTTTCTTAAAACTATTTATTATTGAGGCAGTTTGATAAGTAGGGAGAGGTAAAATTACAACATGGGAATTCGTTTCTTTTTTTAGTTCTTGTTACAGAATTCTGTGATAAAACTCGATGACGAGGCGTTGGTACATGGACAGATGGTATTTTAGATTTTATTTGAGTTCTCGTGTATTTGGGGAAAGTGAGGGTTTGGGGGTGGGATTCGTTGTTATGTGGAGTTAATCTTCTTCAGTGTCTTCTTCACGGTTGAATCTCTTTATTTGCGTGAGGCAGAGGAGCGGGGGGCCTAAGATCCCCGCACCGATCATTGCCATCATCCGCCTTTTTCTCTGTTGAAATGTAATGGGTGCCATAAGTGGTTTCGACTTTTGAGAAATGCGTTATTATTTTTGGAATGAAGGATTTCAAGGGAAATTGTCGAAAGATTTATTTTGTGGCTGAAAAAATTTCCCGTAAAAAAGATTTTTTGAAATTCTTAAATTATTTTTTCAATGTACCTGGGGTGAAAATCGATTCATTGGTATTCCAACCACTGCCGTAGTCTGGGTATGACTCCTCACAATTCCACTTTTCGCACATTGCAGAGGGAAAATCCTCGATAATCGCACGAGAGAGAGCATTTCGCTGTCAATAGTTATCCTCGAAGACTCAGAAATAAATGAAGAGTGTTATGCTCATTTGTCCTGAGTCTTCAGGCTTGCTTTCAACTGTTCAATCACTTTACAGTTTTGGGAGATAATTTCTGACGAGCATGGCATCGACCCCACTGGCAGATACGTTGGAACGAATGATCTTCAGCTAGAGAGGATCAATGTTTATTACAACGAAGCAGGAAGTTAGTACAAATAATTGTTTATTAATTGTCATGAGACATCTGAGAAAAATTCCCCGATTATTTTGTGAATGTCTTTAAGCCAAAGAGATTGAGAGGAAGTTATTGGTAACACGAAAATTATCCCATCAGATAACAAATATGTTCCTCGTGCTATTCTCGTCGACCTCGAGCCAGGGACTATGGACTCCATTCGCAGTGGTCCCATCGGTCAGATCTTCAGGCCCGATAATTTCGTTTTTGGACAGAGTGGAGCTGGAAATAACTGGGCTAAAGGACACTACACAGAGGGAGCAGAGCTCATCGACTCTGTTCTCGAGGTTGTGAGGAAGGAAGCAGAAGGATGTGACTGTCTCCAAGGATTCCAGCTGACTCACTCCCTCGGTGGTGGCACTGGCTCAGGCATGGGGACTCTTTTAATTTCAAAAGTCAGGGAGGAGTACCCCGATCGTATTATGAATTCTTTCAGTGTGGTTCCATCGCCAAAGGTAATTGATGGAGTCAATGTAATTGTGAAAATACGTAACATCAACTGAACAATGAATGAATGAATGAATGAATCAATTAATTGATTAATTAATTAATTCAATTTTTTAAATTAAATAATTAATTGATTCATTCATTAAGATTGCTTTTCGCATTTTTTAGGTATCAGATACAGTTGTTGAGCCCTACAATGCCACACTATCAGTGCACCAACTGGTGGAAAATACTGACGAGACTTTCTGTATCGACAACGAAGCACTTTACGATATTTGCTTCAGGACCCTGAAGTTGACTTCACCAACTTACGGTGATTTAAATCATCTCGTTTCAGTAAGTTCATTCCACAAATGCACTTTAAAAATTTCTGGCTCAAATTTCCCGAACACTTTTTGGAAATTTTCATCACATTATAGTTACGTTAAAATTTCAAGGAATATTATCATTGAAAATTCGGGAATCAGTGGAAACTGGGAATTAGTCCTAAGTTTAAGTTTTCGGTTTTTTATTTTTTATTTTTTGTTGAGGTATTTAATTTTTTCCAATCAATTTTTCAGGTCACAATGTCAGGTGTGACGACGTGTCTGAGATTCCCAGGCCAATTAAACGCTGATCTGCGTAAATTGGCAGTGAACATGGTACCATTCCCACGTCTTCATTTCTTCATGCCAGGTTTCGCTCCACTGACTGCCAGGGGAAGTCAAGGATATCGCGCACTAACGGTTCCAGAACTCACACAACAGGTGAATATCAAATTTAAGATATTTTTCTCGAATCTTCATATTTTATAACTCATCTAACTCGTCTTCCTGTTGATAAAAAATTTGAAAACATTGAATTTTGAGTGAATTTGAAATTCAGTCTTTCCTTCCTAAATCTAATTAAAACTCTCCTGAAAATTAAATACATAATTAACTATGAATGTCCAATTTATCAGAAATAGGCAAAATCGTAATACAGAGTTTAAATTATTTTATTACATACAAAATCAGGTAACTTTATTGTAAAATTTTTCAAATATTTTATAAATCAGATGATTATTAGATTAATTGAAAAATCAAATTCAGATATTTAGAATTAATTGTTCAATTATAATTGGGAATTAAAAAATATTTTCAAATTTAAATAAAAAGTTATGAACTTTTATCTACAATTAACATCTTTCAGAATTAGTAACAATTTTTTCCGATCCCTGATTTATTTCCAAACAATATACATGCGAATAAGAAAATATGTCTGAAATTTCTCATTCAATTTTCTCATCTAACAAAAAAAAAAATCTGATGAAGTCCCAATGAACTGAGCGAAACGACCCCATTATAATCGTCTCATTGTATTCCCGACAGATGTTCGATGCCAAGAACATGATGGCAGCCTGCGACCCTCGTCACGGTCGTTACTTGACAGTAGCAGCGATATTCCGAGGTCAAATGTCGATGAAGGAGGTGGACGAGCAGATGTTGAACATTCAGAACAAAAATTCTGCCTATTTTGTTGAGTGGATTCCCAACAACGTCAAAGTAGCTGTCTGTGACATCGCCCCCAAGGGTCTGAAGATGTCTGCCACCTTCATCGGTAACTCCACAGCCATTCAGGAGATCTTCAAACGCATCAGCGAGCAGTTCACAGCCATGTTCAGACGTAAAGCCTTCCTCCACTGGTACACGGGGGAGGGCATGGACGAGATGGAGTTCACAGAGGCTGAGAGCAACATGAATGACTTGGTGTCTGAGTACCAACAGTATCAGGTAATTAAACACTGTAACCGACTTGAAATCGTCAATTCATCTGTTCTCCAGTGGAGTTGAGTAATTAATGAATAATTGATCAATTATGACAGGAGGCAACAGCAGAAGACGAAGAGGCCTTCGATGACGAGGAAGTCATGGAGGAAGAGGCAGCTGAGTAAAGTTATATCTTCCCAGAAGTTTTTATCCCTTTTTGTGATGAACCTATCACTCAAACAGACTTCCCTTTCCATTGAATAGGCAACGACTCCTTTAAGTATTTCTTTGTAACTTTTTTTGTAGAAAGCATAAAATATATCATTGCCAACTCGAATTCGTGCATTGTTATTCGCATGAATCCTTGAACGATCCTGAATTACATGATTATATCGTGATGGGGGATGAAAAAATGAAACAAACTCCAAATTTTTTTTACTGTCAACTTTATTATCAAAACTAAAAACTATACAATTCAATATACAATTCCCCCATCATTCCTTCACAAAAGTATCTGTACAAATAATAAAAAATAATTATCGAACTAAATTATTAATGTAATTACATTGTCATCACCGCAAAAAAAAATTATTTCAAGTTTTTCACAAAATATCTTCCATAGACACATTTCGTCGAATTGAATTACTGGATCCCTCTGTATATTTATACCAAACCCCATACTTGGCAATTAAATTTCGGTACTGCTTCCCAGGTTTATCCCCCTTCGGTGAAGTCTCCACAACATTATTCACCGAAGGTTTCGTAAACCCCTCAAAAAAGTTCCTGAACTTCGTCGCTTTAGGAGTAACAACCATCTCCATCTCGCTCAGATGATTCGGCCTGAAGGCACTGGCAGACGGTATGGGCTCTTTCGGCTTTGAAACCTCGTCCTCACCATCCTTCGACCCCTCAGGCTCACTCGAGGCGCCCCAGGCAACAGCGGCTCTCCTCAACCTCTCAACCTCCAGCTCGTGCGCCACAATCTGCTTAACAGCATACGACAACGGCCTCCGAGCCTTGCAATCAGGGAAAATCCCCGCCTCATAGAGATCAGGTTCAATCTTATAATCGAGAGCTCCTTCCTCGCTCTTCTCCTGCACGAAGGAGATCCCCAGATCCAGCATGACATCTATCAGCCTCTCAAAGTCAGCTTTCTCTTTGGTAGAGTAAAGATTGCTAGCCACCGACCTCAGCTTTGGATTGAGAATTTCAAACAGAAAAGGTGCAATATCCAGGACAATTGTTGCAGTGTCTTGCCCACGAGACTTCCTAGCCACCGACAATATCCCCATTGTTTTGGTGGTCTTCTGCCAGACGTCTCCAGCTACATGGGGGAACGTTAATTTAGGATTGACTGTACCAGCAAAACCGAAGTGCCAAGTGACGAAGCAGTAGCCAGTGTACCCTGCCACTGTCCAATCCTGCGTCGTGTTGACGACTGTCGTGATCCTGTCGTACAGTTGAAACCATTCCAAAGATATCGATACCTTGCTCATCTTCTCGTGACAGTTCGGGGGGTAGTTCTCGAAAACCCCCTGAGTCAATCTCTCTGAGTTCTCGCTGTGGGACACCTGCAGAATCCTCTGGGCTCGTTCTCTCGGGGTCAGGGGCCCAGCCCTGTCCATGGGGACCTGCAGGATCTCCCTCCAGGCCTCGAAGATCGACTTCTTCATGTCCTTGTTGCCGAGGCTGTGGTTTGACTTACCACAGTCTGCGCCCAGGTACTGGAGGGCACCCAGACAGGCTCGAATGTCACAACCAGATCTCTCTGCTAGCTGGATTAACGTGCCTTCCTTGATTTTCAGGTGCTCACGACGGGCTATTGTGGCCAGACGGCCTGCTAGGTTCGCTGGGGAGACCTTGGGGACGTTTATTATGTATGCCATTTGTCGCAGCGACCTGAAAGACACGGAATCGATGAAGAACTGGTGGAATTCACTCGCTTTTTATGGTATTCATCTGTGTTAATTGAATTTATTCTACTGGGGTTTTTATTGTCTGATGTAATTACCTGTTATTTAGATCGTTTTTTAATTATCGAGTGAGGGGGGTTGAGAAGAAATTTTGGGAGACATTTCTCTTGTGGAAATTGACCGGCGAATTACCCAATTTTCAAGTAATTTTTTACAATAAATAACTTTGAATGATTAAATGAGCAAGTTTGGACTTCTTGGAAATTTCTGTCACATTATAATTTCATTGAAACTTCACGGAACTTCGTCATTGAAAATTCAAAATTTTGTAGATAATCAATGGAACCTGTCGATTTTAATTAAATTATTCCATGAAAATGAGCGGAAATGGGAAAAGAAAAAGAAATTTAGAAGGACAGATTTACCTCAAGGCGGGGGTGTAGGCCTCGTTACAGATGCCGATAATAGGCCTCTTGCAGTACTCATTATCCTTGGCAGAAAGTTCCTTCGACTTTTTCCCCTTGGCCGTTAACTTCCCTTGAACGAACTTGAGGAGAAGTTCGATCGAAGGTGCTGGAGCCCCATCAATCTCATCCAGGACGAGACAGTTGGGCCTTGGGTCTGCTCCTATCAGAGATCTCATCTGAGTTGAAGACAACAGCGCCTGCCTAACATTTTAAACGACAATAATTGAGATAAACTAATGTGAATATTCCATTGGCTTCAAGTGACAATTTTCAACATTTTTCAATATAACTCGTGGGTTTTATTGATTCATTATTTCTTTATTTTTTGATGATTTATTGAACAATTTATTAGTTTTTGGCCAATTCTAGTTTAATGCAAATCCGACAGAATTTCTACCAAATTCACTAGGATTTTCCATTAAATTTCTTCGTGCGTGCACTATTTTTTCTACCGTAAAAAATCAATGACCTACCTGAAAGCATCTGGACCCCTCTCATCACTGGCATTGATCTCCACGACGTTATACCCCGCATGTCTCGCCACCAGATGAGCCAGAGTGGTCTTCCCCAACCCCGGAGGGCCACTCAACAGTGCAATCTTGTGCACCGGGAAGCCCCTCTTGTCCACCAGCTCGACCTCCTCCTTCTTCACGAACTTCTTCCATCCAGGTCTCTCCACAGGCGCTCGTTTCCTGACCAGCTCCCGCCCGAAGACGACTTTGTCCCAGAGTTTGATCCAGTGTAAGAACCGACTGTTGACAGCTTCATCAGACAGGAGTTCCATGTACGACCTGGGACGGTATTTGTCGACCCAGAGTTCATCGCCCAGCGAGGCGGAGGTCTCTGGGCCCTCCGGCTGAGGGAGACTCTCCCTCTGCACCTTCTCAACCAGGATTTTCTCCGCCTCTTCCTTCAATTTCTCGTAATTGACATTGAGGAGACCTCCGGCCGGCGTCACCTCCACGATTTTCGATGGATTTTTCGGCCGAAGTCGAACGTAAATTCTTTGAGAGTCCGCGGGTCTCGTCAGGGCCACGAAATTCCAGGAGGGGATCTTCAAGGATATCGTCTCCCTCGGGGTCGACCTCCAGGCCTTGTTCACGGCCTGGGGGACCTTTCCCTCGTGAACCAGGCGGTTCCTCAGGGTCTCCTGGTGAATCGCCTCGATCACCTCTTTTGGCTGGTTCCAACGGGGCCTTTTATCCTGCCGACCGAGGTCGAACAGCTCTGGGTCTGCTGGGTCTAGGGTCGACGTGGAGGGACAACTGTTGAGGAGCTCTGCCACGTCTCTTCGCAGCTCCTCGAAGGTTCGTTTCTTCGCTTTCTCGGGGGGAGGCTTTGGGGCTGACCCTCTTGGGGAGGCCAAGGCCGACTCCTGGAGGGAGTTGAGCTCGTCCTCGATTGGGAAGTCGTCGTCCGGGAAGTCCGGTTGGTCCGAGGGGGCGGGGGTGCTCGGTCCGTTTGGTAACGCCGAGGGTGGCGGGGGTTCTAGACGGAAATTGAATAAGCTATTTAATTCGTGTCGGGGTTTTGGGCTCATGTTACTTCATTTCAATGAGAAATCAACATTATCTGAGAATATTTAACCAAAATACAACAAACGAAAAACGACTATTCGACGCAATTCAAGCAAAAAAAAATTGTTTTAATCAATTTTGTTTATAATTCAATTGACTAGATTAGGCCGATTACACTTTTCTTTTTTCATTCGATTGAAATTCAGCATCACATCTTTTGCCCTCTCTGAGTCTTGCTCTGAACTTTGCATTTTGCTGTTTCATTTTCAAAATACAACGAACGAAAAACGACTATTCGGCGCAATTCAAGCAAAAAAAAATTGTTTTAATCAATTTTGTTTATAATTCAATTGACTAGATTAGGCCGATTACACTTTTCTTTTTTCATTCGATTGAAATTCAGCATCACATCTTTTGCCCTCTCTGAGTCTTGCTCTGAACTTTGCATTTTGCTGTTTCATTTTCCTGAAAATTAGCAGAAATCAAGAAAATTTGGATAATTGTGTTCTTGAATTTTCAATTAATTAAAAATTCATTGTAATTGAGCAATGAGAACTGTAAATTTGAGTAGAAGAATTCACTCAAAGCTGTTCAAAATTCGGAATCCACTGAATTCTAGTGTTTTGCTCCCCTCTCCCCTGATAATTCAATGTTTGAGGATTTGATAAATTTTGAAGGATCGATTCAACTTACCTTTTGGAGGCCTCGAAGCCTTGTATACATCAGTTGGTATGAGATCATATTCCTCATCAGAATCGGGAAATTCACTGGGGTCCATTTTGAACGGGAGTTGTTACGCTCCCAGAGCACTCAAAACTTTCTAGAATCACTTCTCAATTAAATTAGTATTAAATAACGCGACGAGTATTAGACGTGAGGATTCATTCTGACGGATAATTTTGAGGGTTATGAACGCTCTCAAATTTTCTGAAAGACCGCGCTCTGGAGAAAATCTCGAGCCATTCGATTAATCGATATAGACTGGTCTTTCCGGGGGGGGGGCGTTCGTCATCCGCAACTGTACATACACTCGCGTACGAATCAATATACTGATCAACTCGATTCTACAATCGACAGATCCGCCAGGGTAATAATACTTCTTCCCTCGCACTGATCGGCCGTTTAGTATCCTCTAATAAAGTAATAATATTTGAGAGGGATATATTGAATTTAGATCGACTTGAAGCCATTCTGCTCCAAAACGACGTTTGAAAACATAGTCTGATAAACGCCGATTATCTAGCGATCTCATTGGCTAGCCCCCACATCTACGTTGCCATCGCCAATTAGATTGATGTCACCTCCATCCGATAGGTAACCCCCTCCCCTGTGCACACACACATCGCGCTCTCGCATTCATGCCCTCCACCCATCAGTGAATCCGCCTTCTATTCCAGGAACTCTTGCCTGCTCGTAAAAAAAAAACATTAGATTATCGCCTCCCCTGCGTCGAGCTAAACCCCAGTCGCTTAAACAGGCCATCGGTCTTTTATTTGAACAAAAAAAATCCCCGAATGTTCCCCCAACAGCCCCAATGACGTAAAACCGTATCTTATCGTCGTTATGTGCGAGTGAGCCCAAAACCGAGTGCCTACAATGCGGAAAGAAAGAGTCGAGTAGAAATCGAGTGTGTTGACACCTTTGACAAGTGCGCCCTAAACCGATAGCCACCGCACCTGTCCCGACACAGTTTCCTGCCTATTATTTTCTATTGTCAAGCCGCAAGTGGCATTGGTGCACAACTATTCGTGATAAAAAATCGTGGAGCGCGAAAATAGCCCCGGAAAAAAGTTAATTAAACGTAGACGTATGTTCAATGACAAGGGGAAGAGAATATCGAAGACTTTTCGAGTGAATAAAACCTCTGAACAACGGAAATCATCGGGAATGTCAGGTGGACATTGTCGGCATGGAGGAGGTAAGGAAGAAGGATCGTGAGGATAACTCGTGTCATGTCGAGGATGAGGACGATGACGCCAGGGTCGTTGTTGCCAGACGTGGCAATGGTATTGTTGGGTGCAAAGATTTGGATGTTCTCCAAGATGTGGCCAATGCCAATTCAAGGTGTCAGGGGAGCGACTGCGAGAGGGAGGACTCACTCGAGAAAGATGTCTGTGGGAAAACACATCAGAGTCCAGCTGCTCTAGCGTTCACCATTGATTTTGACGATGGCAATAAGGAAGTCGACACTGTCAAGTATCAGAGCCTTTTTCAGAGGTTCGCTAGGCACAGGAGGAATGTCTCGACGTCCAAGGTCAGTGGAACCGATATTTTTTGGGGGTTTTAAGTAGGGTTCTAGGGTTTGGGGGGATGCAGATATTTTGGCATTTGTGGGAGTTTGAGGATTTTTTATAGAAGATTCAGAGATATTTAGGATAGACTGACTTCGAAGCTGGGTTTGTTGTTTTGCTGATTCCACTTTTATAATACTTATTCAACGACAATGAAATCATCGAAGCAATCAACAACTAAAAAATAGTTATTTCTTCCTAAATAAAATCCAGAGAAGATACCAAGTCTGTCGCTAAAACGTCTTCTGCAGCTCTCCAAATTCTGCAGAAAATACTTTCAAAAAAATTCTAGAATAAATTCAATCAGTCACTAATATTAAACCGAGGTACAATACGTCCATTTTGCCTCATTTGCCCTCATTTAGGGAAAACTGATCTTGAAGTTGAATATTTTATTCCACCTTTGTTGACTGTGAAATTTTCTCCTGAGATCTTATAAAATGCTTTCGTCGTAGATCTTGACAGAGATAATTCTTTGTATTTTCAAAACAGGGCTTTAGGTCTAATTATAATGAAATGGTAGGATGGATGAGTGAATTATGCTCGATGTAGATCTCCACAGAGATGATCTTTCGTCTTTTCAAAATAGAGCTGTCAGTTTTCGTTGTGATGAAATGGTGAAATTTGTTTTGATGGTCAGTGTTATGAGGAATATCTGAGGATCTTTTGTGGAGACACATTTCGTGGGGAATTTCAAGAGCTGCAGGAAAGGCTCCAATGAAAACTTCGGTATCTCCTCTATTTGGGATTCCGGGATATTTAGGGAGAACTGATCTCGGTCGATGCCAGAGGACATTTTCGTAGATCTTGAAATTCTCTGTGGAAAACATTTAATCGAACATGTCTAAGGTAAATGACCCCACGCTCGTACAGCTAAGGTGAACACATCATTAGTCCAACATTTCTCTTGAAATGAGTGTAAACATGCGAAGTTTTAAATTAGATATCAGAAAGTAAAAACTTCAGAATTAAAATTCACTTGTATTAATCATGATAATTACTATTTTTTAATAAATAATCGTCCATAAACGTGGAAAGTCCCATTTCCCTACGCTCGCTCATTTGTCCCCATGCACGTTTGACACATGTGATTTGAGTGATATGAAAAGGTTATATCCGAACTAATTACATCGTGAGTATCCTATTTGGGATAAACCAACATTAAAAAATATCTCGAGGCACAAAATTATATTTCAATTGAACAGTCCAACCTTTTAAATGATTTTTTCATCCGCTTAGTCCGTGAGCAGTTGACAGTTGGCTATTCTTTTAAATGCCGACATTTCTGCGATATATTAAGATATTACTGTAATTTATGCATTTTTATTGCTTTTTTAACAATCCGAAACCTCAGTCAAGGGATTTTTAATCCCATTTGACTATCATAACGGAGATATCAACATTTAAAAATTGTGAGTTTAACTTGCGGCTTGAGAATTCACTCGGTCGTAGCACCCGTTAATGTGGATGGGATTTTTCTCTCGTATTCTTCGAAAAATCACTGTTCACTGGTGTCTGTAACTGTCCTTATTGAATAAAATAATAACTCCAGTCGTACGTCTTCATTTTATTCATTGTGAAAATAGCGAAGATGGTATATACTTCGTACATATAAAGTGCAACGTAGTGTGTGCAACAACGTCTGAAAATTCAACATTGCATCGCCTCGATGTAAACCAAAACAACAAGCAGGAAGCAGTATTTCAACACAGCTATTATAATATAGTTATCTCACTTCACCCCCTTCTCACGTTGAATACAATCGAGTGTACTGTTGGTGTATTTTATATGAATTTGTTTATTTTGTTCAATTGTTCTGCTGATTTCATTCTTTGTTGAATGAGAATTGTCTCCCAACTTTTTCTTCTCCAATCAATTAATTAAATATAATAGATTAGTTAGGCAGAATTGAATCCTTCTGATTTCTGACATAATTTTCTTTGGATTTTCAGATAGAAATAAAGACCAGTAAATCATCAGCAGATTTATCCCCAAATTTTGTACAAAAGAGTAAACCAGTGAGCAACTACTCCGAGGGATACTTCAGCAGTGAAGACGATACGAAACGAAAGGCTGACAAATTATCCCAGAAATTGAAAGAACTAGGTAACTTCTAGTTGATTTATTAACTGTACATTGTTGAACTTCGGTATTTTTTATATCGGCCACTGGGTAAGATTTATATATGGAAATGTTGTATATGTCCGGTGAGTGAGTCACGGTGAAGTCATCTTCACTCGTTGCGCCAATGGCAGGGGCAACGTGTGGCCATTAGTATTCCGTGGGTATTAGTCCGAGGTACATTGTGCTCACCTTCGGTTCCTCAATAGCCAGCCGCTTGCGTTCAAGGCTACCGCCGAAAATCTAAATATACTGTCAAAATTCAGTTGTTGAGGGAGAAAACGTTTCTCGTTAAATTTTACGTCTTTGGTAATTACGAAATTATTCAGTTGATGAGTGATTTTGGGGAAAATTGTTTTGTAATTTTAAATTCAGTAGAAAATGTTGGGCAAGAAAATTTTAAATAAATTGTGTTTCAACACTCTCCTTTGAACACTTGATTTCAGAAGTATAGGTGGAAATAATATTTCATCAACATTTTTGTAACTTGTTAAGTGGGAAATCGTTTGTTTATCTGGGCATTTATATCAAAATGCATTCTTTTGTAGGATATTCAAAAAACTCTTCCAAAAAAAATGAAAATCAGACCACCACCGAGATGACGAACCAAGTCTTTCGTTTCAGGTTTAAAAACGTCCCCAAAAGGAGTTTCCCTCCGTCACCCGCCGATGTCCCGTTCCCTCACCGAGAGGTCCACCCCTCACCGTCGCTCCTACCACGAGCCCTCACCTCCCCGCCCAGACCTCCCCAACTCCTCCACAATGAACGACCTGAGTCGCCTCCAAAGTTCCCTCGAGGATGATCGCTCAAACCGTGTGCAATACTCCCCAGAGAAAAAATACACCAAGAACATCGAGTACCTCGAGATAAACCACTCCTACTCCTCCGAGAACCTCCACCACTCCCAGGCCTCCTCCGAAAAGCTCAAGAACACAAGTTACACCCCCAGCTCTTCGAATCCCCCTGAATCCCCCCAGAAACAACGAAATATCCAGACCCTCTGCATCACGTACTCTGGAGAATGCAGCACAGGTCCCAACATTGATAAATTCAGCGTCAGCAACCTGGACAATGACTCGGACGGCACAGTGAGTGAGGCTGGTACCTACACGGTCCACAAGGACTACACAGACGAGGAAAAAGCCCGGATGGACATTGACAAAACGTTCAGCGTGGGCATCCTCACAGAGGGCGAGCAGCACTCCTCGTACGTCCATCACTTCCAGATGAACACCTCCAGAGACTCGAACTCCTGGATCTCCGATTGGGCAACTCAAGTAGCTGAACACAACTCATTACCACCTCCCATCGGGGGAACAACGGGTCAGGGATAAATTTATAGTATTTAATTACGCCGTGGCTATTCGCACTACCACACGCAGAAATTCATGTAAGGGTCGGCCAGTAGTACAACGTGTCAACCAATCATCCTTAGAATCATCTGCACTATATTTCGATACCCGCTCCTGCACTCGGGTCTTATATGAATTTCTCCGTGCGACGCGCTGCGTGTGGTAGTGCGAATAGCCACGGCGATTAAATTATGATTAAATTTCATGTTCAAAGATCCAGTCATAAATTTCTGACTTGAATTTTTTTTTCATTTCGTAGTATTTTCAAAAAATTTGTACTTTCCAGTAAAAGCCAAACAAAACTTTTCTTTGGCGTAGTTGTTTTTACAGAAATATTCAGTTTTGTTTCTTTAGGGAGATATATTACGAAATCAGATAATCAATTCCCGGAATAATTCTCACTACTTCAATAACCAACAATCACTTTCAGAAGATCTGAATTATATTATATACTCTCATTCTATTGAGATATTTTCTATAGAAAATTTCTCCACTCGAGTTTTTGTATTTTTTTAAGGCCGTGACTATTCGCACCATTACGTGAATCACTCCCGTACACTCCATACACTCCACGCATGCGTGAAGTTTGTGTGTTTCACGCAGCCGAATTTTCATACTGCTGTGATTTCACGCAGTTGAAGTTTCATACTACTGTGTGTTTCACGCAGTTGAAGTTTCATACTACTGTGTGTTTCACGCAGTTGTATTTTTATACACC